CCCTCATCAGCTAAATGCGAAATACCTGAAATGACAATGGTTATAAATAATGACAATAACATACTTCAATGTTTGAAAGGTAATAGAGAAAACATTATAAGATGAACGCATCTGGAATATAAGTATTACAATTTTTAGTTTAAGTTACCATCAATTTATATACTATCAAACTATTGAGAGAAGTGGGGAGTGAGGGAAGACAGAAAACAGAGAAATCTTATAGACAGTGTTATACAATTGAAAAGAACCTAAAAGACCTGGATTTCGCAGACGAATTATGTTTGATGTCACACAAAATCGAAGACTTACAAGCGAAAACCGACAAACTGGTCGAAGAAGCAGCCGGTGAAGACAGGACTCCAGGTGAACATAGACAAGACGGAGGTTATGAAAATAACCAACCAACAACAAAAACAGCAACATCCAGTGCCAATCACCATCAACGGGAGGGATTTGAAAGAGGTTACTTCTTTCACTTATCTACGGAGCATTGTCTCAACTACAGGAGGAACGGACAAGGATGTCAAATGGAGAATCGGGAAGGTGTGAAACACATTCATCAACCTGAAATCAATCTGAAAATCTTCGTCATTCAGCATCAACAACAAAGTGATTCGGATTTTCAATACAAACGTCAAGTCAGTTCTTCTATACGGATGGATCAGAAACTTGGCGGGTCACAAAGAATATTTCCAACCACCTGTTGCAGACCTTGATCAACAACTGTCTTCGTTCTATACTGAAGATCAGATGGCCGGAAAGAATCACAAACAAGAAACTATGGAACAAGCAAAACAGGAACCAATCGCTCAACAAATATGCAGGAGAAAGTGGAGATGGATTGGACACTCACTGAGGAAGTCACTGGGTGACATCGCGCGTCAGGCCCTCGAGTGGAACCCGAAAGGGAAGCGACGAGTGGGACGTCAGTGCAAGGGTGACATGGAGGAGATCGTGTAAAGGAAGAGTTGGAACAGTATGGATTAACATGGATGCAAGTGAAAAGTACAGCAGAAGACAGAAGCAAGTGGAGGCGTGTAGTTGAAGCCCTCTGTTCCACTAGGAACTCAAGGGAACAATAAAAATAATATACAATTGAAAACTTGCTCAATGAGTTGAGCACACTAATGTGTATAACTAATCAGGGTAATGAAAGTAATAAGGTTACCAAGGGAATGAGAGATTGACTACACTCTATTTCTTTGTGCATAAGTTTAGTCTGAAACGCTTGATTGCAATTGCTTCAGAAGTAAATCATGGTAAATTCGCCGCCCTGTGTATATTTAATATTTTGAAGGATTTAGAAATCTCGACGAAATGACCAGTATCCATAAGAGGTTCGCTAATTGCACTTTGTGAATATCTGCTTCCTTTTAGATGTAAGAAGTTTCTCGATATATACTCTGGAAACCACATAGAGGTCCTTCTTTCTGTCCTTCCAATGTACTTTCTCCAGCAAGTGCACGTAAATTTATAAACGCAGTTGGAGGTGACATCAGTAGGATACTTATCGAGTTTGGATTGGCTTATACAGCTATGACCTTCTTGAGTTGCTGTGTAAACCTACATGCTAACACTGTTTATTAGATTTTTCTGTTTTCTATCTTCTCCTACTCCCTAACCTACTTACTTTACTTTACTTCGGCTATCTCCTACGGGAGGATGAGCCGGCTTCATGAACATCTCGAATCATCGCTGCCCAGGCGCGGCGATCTGATGCAAGGTTTTGCGACAGGGTTATCCAATTCTTGTTCCACAGACGGAGTTCATAGACGGTTTGTAGCCCCAGGCACTCCATATCAGCCGTGACTGTACCAAGCCATGTTTTCAGCTGTCCACCCCTGCGACATCGCCAAGATGGTAATGGCGAGGGATTTAGAACTGATTTGACCAGATCGTCATCTGGTCGGCGTAGAAGATGGCCAAACCACCGAAGGCAACGTTGTTGGACCAGTACTGGAATTTGGTTGATGTTGTAGCAACGACGAAGAGTTCATGAAGTTTCATGGAAATTTGGTACGAGTGATGTCCCCAGAATCGCTTGGCCTTTTGTTTGAAAGTGCAGCTCTAGCCTTTACACAACCAAGTGTGACCTACAAGGCAGTAGGAGTGGAGTAGGGAGTCCACTATCCATTGGCAGCCGGTGACCGGAGTTCGGTTCATACACCTTTTTGAAAGGGGCCAGACATCCAGGACATCCAACAAGCCCTTTGTCCAAACGTCTGCCGGTGAGCTCAAGAGAGCTTCATACGCCAGTCGCTGGAGGTTTGGAATCAGGATTTAGCCATCTCCCCTTGACTGTCATCCAATGGACAGTCAACCCGGTGACGAGCACCGGGCATCCGCTTTCGCCCTCTCACTTTGGTGAAAAACACCTCTGCCACGTGAAGGCAGTGAGTAGGACTTCCTCAGGAGAGGCTATGTAAGACGTTCGGTCATATGGGAGCATTTCAAGAGGTGTGCGGAGGGGTGGCCAACCCGCAGCGCAAGGCACCCACCCCCGACCATCTCGAGGCTTTGGAGGCCCACCTAACCTGCCCCTCCTTTTCTATTTTGAAAGCATATAAATTGATGGTAACTTAAACTAAACCGATAATTGTTATCCTTATATTCCGGATGCGTTCACCTTATAATGTTTTCTCTATTACCTTTCAAACATTGAAGCATGAAATGTCATTGTTTATAACCATTGTAATTTCACTTAGTTTGCAGTAGGTGATGAGAAGCTGTGAAATAGAATGATGATATCACATTTTATGCTGCGAATCTGACCTTTCTTTCTTTCTCTATCGAAATTTAACAAGGGAAACAAATGTATGAAACTTTATTGTTATCATCTGTATATTAACTGAGCAATGTTTATTATTAGTTTTATTCTTATTCCCTTGGGTTCCAAATAGAACATAGGGCTTCAACAACATATCTCCACTTTGTTCTATTCTCTGCCGTCCTCTTAAGCTGTCTGGAACCACGAATTGCCCATAATCTCTCATCTCCTCCTCACCAGCACACCATCTCCTCCATGTCACCCTCGCACCGACCACCCACTCATCGTTCCCCACTGGAATTCCATTCGAGCAATGACATGCATTGAGCGTGATGTCATTCCACGGTCTCCTCAGTGTGTGCTCTATCCATCTCCTTGTTCTCCAAAACATTTGCTGAGCGATAGGTTCTCGGTTTGTTTGTTGCAACACAGAGTTTCTCTTCGCTAATTCTTTCTGGCTGACTGGCCGGCCATTCGATCTTCAGTATGGAGCCAGCGAAGCGGGTAGCTGTTGATAACAGTCTACAGTGACCTTTTCGAAATGCTTTTCGTGATGCGCCCACCAAGTTTCTTACCCATATAGAAGAACTGACTGAATGACTTGACATTGGTGTTGAAAATCCGAATATTTTTCTTGATGTTGAGGCGGAGTGGAGAACATTTCCAATCCGATTTCCGATTGGTGAGGGTGTATCTTGCCTTTCTGATTATGACTGGCTTTGACATCTTCATCAGTTCCACCTGTGGATGAAACAGTGCTCGCTAGATAAGTGAATGAAGGGACCTCTGTCAAATCTCTCGAAATGATGGTGATTGGTGCTGGTTGTTGTTGTTGCTGTTGATTGGTTGGTTGTATCTTCGTCACTTCCGTCTCTGTCTTCGCTATGTTCACCTGCAGTCCTGTCTTCGCCGCCTGTTTCCTTCTTCTACCAGTTCGCTGGTTTTCGCCTGCCTGCAAGTCTTCGATTTTGTGTGACATTATACATAAATCATCCACCCGCGAAATCCAGATCTTCTAGAGTCGTCTTATCGGTCAGTGCAACGTATTCCTGTTTTCTCATTCATAATCCAGTCCACCTCAATTAGGAATATCATCGGTGACAATAAGCAGGGCTGTCTTGTCTTAGTCCTGTATAGACTTCATACGCTTCGTTCAACATTCCATTATGAATTACTTGACGTGTGCCCTTCTCATATATCTGTTGAATGAGGTTGATAAAGATTTTAGCACTGCACGGCATAATGTTCAAGTAGTTTCCAAATTACTTCTTGGTCAATACTGTCTGTCGACGGTGTTTTCAAAGACAATGAAATTGAGCTTAAGAGAGGTTTGACTGCTATTCTCCGCTTTGTTCTGTGATAATCCTTATACGCTTATCCTGACTTATTGCATAAAGAAGTTGAGGCACTCAGGTATAACCCGATCTCTTCTCATACAATTTATTAATTCATGTGTTCTGCCCATCATTCTTTATTGTTCTCCATTATTCTTCCCTGGGCTACTCAAGAAAGACCATATAATACTACGAAGAACATTGAAGGCTGTAAGTAGGGTCAGTGCTATCCCTTTGACTCAACTAACTGACACTGTTGTCAATAGGCATTTGAATTCTTGTAAACACTTAGCTAAAGTTATTTTGTCTGATGGTGAACATCCTCTTTATTCACATTTGTTTCCTTGTATCTCTTAGAGTAAGACCAGAAAAAATTTCATAAACATTTATGCTCGTACTACAAAATATAAAAATTCGACCGTACCATATTTGGCACGAGTACTGTGTGAAGAGACGAATATCAGAAAAGAACTTTTACAACTTTTAAATCGTTAACTTAACTGTAAAATGTAATGATGCATATTAATGCATGTGTTATTTGTTATATTTATTTATTATTCACTATCACCTAGAAATGGTGTGATTTTGTTGGGGTTTTTATTTTTCCTATTAATAATAAATATTTTTAACATTTCATACATTTATATAATTATAAAAAGAGCTAAACCAATGCAATATGTAAAATGAAACGCTGAAAATTCCATGCTGTAAATTATTATTGTTGTGGAATAAAATGATCATTATTATTATTTCCTGAATCCAGCAATATTTATTACCATTTAATACTTTTTTCTGCATTATTTTTATCGTTCAATCAAACTTTGTGTCGATTTATAGAATCTAATCGTTTTTCTTTCATTTGACTAACTTCTCATCATTTCTTTCCCGGCATTCCACAGGTATTCAAAAAACGCTTAGAACTTAAAGGAATCAAAATGAATGAGAAAAAATCAAAGCAGACTAGTCTGAAATGTACTCATTCTAAAGTCAATCATCATCATGACATGAATGCACTGGACGATAAGAATGCAAACAACCCTAGACGTAATTTAACAAGACACTTTACATCTTCCTTAATGAATAAAAGACAATACGCTAAAGCAGACCACTTAATCAATACAACAACAACAAGTAGAAGAAGTGCATCACAAGTTTTCCCAGATTCAAATAAACCTCCAGATTTATCGGCATGTTTACAGACAACAAATTCGTATCATTGTCAACTGTATGAAGGAAAGAATGAAATACACCCGTGTAATGAACAACCTTCTACACTGGAAACACCACAGCAATATGAAGTATGTCAACAAAACGATCAACAGCAACAGCAACAGCCACAAGAAGAAGGTGAACCACACCAACAACAACAAAACAACTACCGCTTGATAGTGAGTTGAGTAAATCGAATACCATCATTACACCAAATAATAATGTTAATCATCAAAAGAAGTACTTTAAATCACTAATCAATAAATTAATCTCTTCAGATAGTACTCAGTCATTTACACCAAATTGTGATATTAATCATGTGAGTACAACTACTAGTACTAATGAAGAGAGATCTCGACGTTCCATCAAGGCAATCAGAGATAATATTGCATTTCAAAATTTGAAAACAGCTGCTATGCTATTTGTTGTAGCTGTTGTCTATATTGTAACGTTTATCCCAGCTATGCTAATGGCTATACAATACATCCCATTATATTTGCCTATATTCTATTTATATTATATTAATAATGCTATTAATCCGATAATTTATGGTTTTATGAATCAAAATTTTCGTAATGATATACGTGTGCTGATTTGTCAAAGGCTGAAATGTTTAAATTTATAGTCAGTCAGTCATCTCCCTTTATGAATCAGAATCAAATGACACAATGAACATCTTCAATACACTGACCACATTCGATTTGCTTGAAATCTGTCTGCAAAACACAATTTTATTTTTACAAAAGTCTGTATATATTGTCATTATTTTTGCTTTTTGTTTTGAAGAGTATTTTGTGCATTCGTTTATTTGTCTCTGTCTTTATTTTTTTTCAAATCATTATTGACATGAAGACAAGATACACAGTCAAAAAATGCCGGTAAACATTTTGCCATGACAACCACTTTGTCATCCATTTTAAATTCAGTCATATTGTTATTATGCATAAAGAATCTGTTGCATAACTTGTACACTGTTCTGTTATTTAAGCATATTGTTTCTTTTATTTTTTCTTTCTTGGTTATTTTCCTTTTCTTTCTTTTTTTCAAAGCAAAGTCATCCAATGTTTTTGTATAAATTCCATATTCTACTTATTGATGCTGAATAAATTGTGCGTGTGTGTGTGCGTGTTCGTGTATTGGTTAGCAGAACTGAAAAGGATACTTGTTGTGTAATGTGTCTAGTCCACCATGTATAGTGACCACCATGCCACTAGGTGGCTTGCTATCACGGTACACTTTGAATTGTTGGTATTAGATCGTTGGAGGCGATTGGTAGGCAGCCCAGTCTGACCTAGGTTTCGTGCTAGTTAGTTGGCACTTACCAGTCATTCAGCAAGGCGTATCTGCAACCTTGAAGGAAGGAAGGAAGTCATGTCCCTTCTGAGATTTGAACCCATGTTATCCAGTGTTACAGTCGGAAACATTACCACTGAGCATCTATTCTGGCTCTCGATTGACCTCTGGTAGGATTGTATTGGATATTTTGATTGCCTGCAACCGCCTCTTATCAACAGTTCAAAGTGCACCGTGATGGCGAACCATCTAGAATGGTAGCCACTTTGCAAAATTGAATGGCGGAATTCGGTCTGCACCAAAGAAAGAGCTAGACACATTACACTAGTTACTGACTAGTGTCCAATCAAAGGTAGCCAATACAGTCCTACAGGAGGCCAATCGCTAGCCCATACAGCTCACCTACTCCCAAAAAGTTTGGTGGAGGTACGTAGATGACACATTCACTGTACTTAGAACACAAGATATAGATGGGTTTTTCGAACACATCAAATCAAAGGTTGAAGCAATTCACTTCACTTATGAATTGGAAAGTCAGGAAGGGGAGCTTCCAATGTTAGATTGCAACGTAAAGAGGAAAGAAGATGGGAAGTTAAACACTAGTGTTTACAGGAAACCTACACACTCAGATATTCGCACTTCCGATCATCCCATCCTATGTCAGTAAAAATAGGATTGGTGAAATGTTTAAATGACAGAGCACAAAAATTAAGTAGTACCAAAGAAAATCTAAAACAGGAACTGATACACATAAAAGAAGCCTTGAAACTTAATAATTACCCTGATAAATTAGTCAAGAAATATGTAAGGAAATGTAAAAATAAAATAAATAATGATAGTAGCGATAGTGATAATAACAATAATAATGATAATGATAATAGCGATAATAATAATAATATTAATGACGACACCAACAATAAAGAGTCTAAATCATCAGTAGTAATTCCATACAAGGAAGGAACCTCGGAAGCCTTACGCAGAATTCTCAACAAGGCAGGAATAAAAACGGCGTTCAAACCCACAAACTCAATTAGAAACAAGCTTTGTCGGCTAAAGGATCCTGTAGAGCCTTTAAAACAAAACAATTTAGTTTATCTCATATACTGTCTGCAATGATTGTCAGGTCAAATACATAGGTCAAACTAGTAGGACAAGGGCAGTCAGACTAGCTGAACATAAAAACTTAGCAAAATCTAGATTGGTTGACCCGAATAAGATAAGAAATCTAGAGAATAGTTCAGCTATAGGACTCACTACATGCAATTACACACAACCACACAATAGGCTGGATGGGATAGGATGACAGTTTTAAAATCTAATGTCACGGGGTGGAGGGAGAGATTGATAACAGAAGCTTTGTTTATCGAATCAACTGCAAATAGATGTAATAGGAATGATTCATCACCTATCCCCGATATCTGGAAAATTCTACTACCCCAAAGACGACAAATAAGAGAGAACAAAGAAAACTTTAAAACTCAAGTGTCAAAGTCGTGTGATCACAGTTGATATGATTATGAACAATAAATTTTGTTCAAAACGTCATCCAGTAAATAATACCGTTTCACTGCGTGATATACCTAATCAACAAACTAATATGGAATTATTTACTACCACAATGCCCAAGTTTTGTACATATATTAACATACAGCTCAGTGGTAACGTTTGTGACTGCAGGTGGCACTGGATGATACATATTTAAATCTCAGAAGGGACATGAGTTCCTTCAAGGTTTGAGATACGCCTCGCTGACTGGTGAGTGCCAACTAGCACGAAGCCTAGATCAGACTGGACTTCCTGTCGATTGCCTTCAGCCATCTAATATCAACAAGACTAGTAGTCCCCCACAAGTTGCTGGATCGAATCCTGTTTACGGCTTAGATTTTCACTTCACTTTCAGTTATCCCTTATGAAATCTGTAACAGTCTGTTGACCCAAGACCAAGCCAGATGGTTTCGCAATTTATTAACACCCAACTTCTCTTCTTCTAATTCACTATGATGAGGATTAACAGGGGAAACCTGTTTTGGTAGGTGGTCCCAAAACAGCCTGGTGCTGCCTGTGCTGTCTGCAGTGAATTAATGACTTGGTGGAAAGTTGGATCTCTTTGCTCAGCTAGTGGAACGTCAGTCTAGTAGTCCCGTTATTGGTAGTTAGAATGCTAACGCGAGGACGATTTTATCTGACTTTTCTTCGCCAGCTGTCACGTCAAACAAAGTCCTGCGTGCTTTAATCTTTGAAATGACTACTAAAGTAATTTGGTAGATGGTCACTAGCAGTGAAATCTGAGATGCACGCCTCCTCCTTTTTGGGACCCATCGGATGGATGTACCTACATTCCCCGGTAAGCAATGGTGTTCTCGCTGAGCCCGCAAGGTAACTTTTTTGAAAAGAATGTCATTTATCATTTACTTTTAATTCAATTTTGATTTTTCTGTTGGTTGACTGAACTGAAATGTTTGGCTTCTTTTGACGAGTAAGCTCCTTATGCGGATGCTTCAACGAATCCAAAACAGGATGAGATATGCATCCTAGATTCCACTGGTAGTTGAAATCCACCAAACCACTTCGAGTCAATCTCCAGACATCCTCGAAGTGTCTGCATAAGGAGCCGACGTGTCAGAAGACGCCAGACATTTCTTTCCAATCAAACAACGGTGAAATCAGAACTAAGTAAATTGACAGAAGGTTGCACATGGTTATAAACAATGATTTCACAAGAAATTATACTGATGTTTCGTGATGTTCGGTGGTTGTCAGTAAGAGAAAATCAAAGTCAGTTTAAGGATTTATAGAAATCTACGAAATCCAGTTGAAATCTGGATTTGTGTCCGCTTATGTAGAAGTCGACAACTTTACGACTACCTCTACGTCGAATATAGATAGCAGTATGAGTGTTAGGCATTCACTGTGTTCTAGCACTTTTTCATTCCTATGTGTATTCAGTGCGTCGAGGGCATAGTGGTAGAATGCTCGTGAACCACGCAGGTGATTCGGGGTTCGATCCCCGGCCGACGCACTGCTTTATCCTTTACCTCGCTAAGCCAGGAATGAGACTGGTAAAGAGGGACAGTTGGGCATGAGGCTAACAACTCCAGCCTCTAAAGGTAATCACCACTGCTACCGAAACTTGAAGCTTCTAGCTTAAAGCCCTATGTTCCACTGGCAACGTAAGGGGATAAAAAATATGTACCAGATGGAATATAGGGCTTTAGGTTTTGAGATTTTAGAACAGGTGGTGTTTTTCGTTTACACACGGTAAGATTCCCAGCCTGACGCTCAAATTTCCCTCATTTTCTGACTTACTGAGTGTTGGGAAAAGTCTGGATGTGCATTATTCAGGATTCAAATCCTGACTAGTAATTAGCTCTATATAAAATTTGCCAGATAGGTGAAGCTGCAGTTACTTTGCTAAGAGTGACAATACTTTTGTGTAGAATTATGCAGAATTTTTTATCAGATAATATATTAAAAATGCCTCAACCATGACTTGTCATCGACATGAGCAAAGATTCTCCTAGACAGATTTCAATCAGTGCACTGGTATGAATAATTAATTCCAATGACTGGCGTTTTGTAACTAATTCTGATGTATAATATAAGTTCAGTCATGTCCTGAATAGATTACATTTCAGCGAAGAAAATTTTCTTCATCAGCAAAATCATCTTCAGAGGATGTACAGTCGTATTTATATTTACCAAAAATTTATTTTTTACTAATCTATTACTGAGTAGTCGGGGGGTGTCATAATTGATATAATTACTCAAAAGTGGCTTTAGAAGTAAAGTTTAAAGTCGTAAATTACGTGGTACTCAACGGAACAAAGATAGAAATTTGATGAGGTGTTTGAGTGTCCAAGTGTGAACAAGTGTGAAGGGGGTGTGAAAATGCACAAAAGGAACATATGAGACTGATAATAGTGAATTAAAATTTTTTACAGGGAACGACTGGTGAAGAGGTTAAGACCAAGGTAGAATAAGAGACTGGAAAAACGTTTTCTGTATACGCAGTTCAGGGTTATATTGACAAACTGCCAGCGCCTCCGCCATACACAAAAGCCGAAACCTGACACCCTTTGTACCATTTGGCCTCACCTTGTAGATAATCTTGAAAGACGACTCAGATGGAGTAGCGTGACTTGAGTTCACCAAGTGGTCGAGAATGTAGCCAGTAACTGTCTTGCATTGTCCTTTTGCTAACCATGACGGATAATATTCGGAGATGCGTTTGGAAAGTGTGTGCTTTGTGTGTGCGGCCAATATAACTAGCTCCACACGAGCAGGTGGGTTCATTAATATACACTGAAGTGGTCCTAAGTGGTAATTTATCCT